TGACTCCAACAAATTAGGAGTGTGGTGGTTCTGAGGCTTTCACCTGCAGAAACATTCAGATATCACCATTTGCTGTCGGCCTTGGTGGCCAGCTCCTTGCCAGAGGAGAGTAATGGGGAGTCTAGCCCCTCCCAGTAGAGGATGCCTGCAGGTAGTGATCGTACCTCTATTCTTCTTCCTCGAAAGGCACAGTTCCCCTGGGTGCTAGCACCTGGTGTTAGTCTGTGATAATATCTGCTTGCTAGAGTGATGTCTGACTTCGATGCTCTCATGGGCGTGTGACAGCCACACTTTCATCCACACCCCCAGTGTGCTGGGGGCCACCCACAAGCCTCACCCACACTCAGACTCTCACCCAGTGGGACCCAGCTTCCTCCCAGATGTTCAGGCTCTCGTCAGTTGTCACTTCCCACCACAGCCACTTCGGTTGCCCTTGGTCTTTGGTAGCTCACGTGCTGCATATGCTCATTGCTCACGTAGACACATGGGAGCCTGTGTTTGCTCATGGGGTTTAGGCACAGCAGTCTGTCTGATGACTGCTTTTATCACAGAGGCCCATAGAGAAGCACGGCGGCATTTCATGTGTTTGGGAACGTGACCCCATGTACATGAACGGACATTCTCAGATCTGGCTGGCGCACAGTGCCACAACCAATGGGGAGCATTGGCCGTGGAAAGCTTGGCACGGGCTGGTACCTCCTCCAGAGAGGCCTTGCTGAAGGGCCACGAAGGTTGGTTACAGAAGAAACACATGTGGTTCTGTGGCAGCTTCCTAGCTCCTCATTTCCTGGAAATTTGCCATCAGTGAGGCTGATTTGCCCAGCCTCATTCCTCCAGGGCCTGAAGTACTGTCTCCTTCCCTCAGAGTGCCATGGAGATTCTCCTGTGATACCCTTTTATTCTGTTCATTTGAACCCTGCATCATGTGACTTGTGTGTGTGATACACACATCATGACAGACAGTAATGACTCCCAGAAGGCCAGATTTGTGTGTGAGTTCATTTTGTGTTGCTGCCCAACCCTGGGCTGCATATCGTGGTGCATTCTGTGTAGCAGCACTTCATCAGTATTGGAGGGATGTATGCACAAGGCAGAAGCAGGAGGGAGTTTAGTCAACGGTGGCAATCTGTATATTATATGTATTCAATTTTCATTATTGATGTGCTTTCAGTGCCCCTCAGTCTCACTCATTCAGTAAACACACATGTATTACATACTTTCCATGTATGAGGTGCTCCTGGAAAGGGGGATCCAGGTCCTCGGCTGTTCAATATTGTGATCAGTACTTGGACTGAAAGATGTCAAGGATCCTCTTCAGAGCATCGTGACAGACCCCTGCTTGATTACAGAGCTAAAGGAGGTTTTTTCCTCAAGGAAAGGAAGAAGTCTGCTTGTGTACAGACTTGAAGGATGAGAAGAATTCATGGTATCAGAAAGATGGGGAGGTTAAAACAATGATGCGATCCCACTACATACCTATTAGAACAACTAAGATCAAAAACCAAAAACCCCTAACATTACCGTTTGTTGGTAAGGGTGTGGAGCAACAGGCACTCTGACTGGTGGGAATGAAAAATGGTACAGCCACTTTTTGAGTTTGGCAGTTTCTTTCAAAACTAAATGTCATATGATCCAGCCATTACACACATAGGTATCTACCAAATTAATTTGAACACTTATGTCCACAAAAGAACATGCACCCAAATGCTTATGGCATCTTTATTCATAATTGCCAAAAACTGGAAGCAACCAAGATGCTTTTTTAGAGGTGAATAGATAAATAAGCTGTGACACATTCATACTGAGAAATAGTATTCAGTGATAAAAAGGAATAACCTATTAAACCATAAAAAGGCATGAATGAATCTTAAATTCATATTGCCAAATGAAATAAATCAATCTGGAAAGCCTACATCCTGTACGATTCCAAATCATGTGACATTTTAGAAAAGGCAAAACTGTAGAAACAGTAAACAGATTAGTGGTTTCCAGAAGTTCAGGGCTGGCACTTGGGAATAAGTTTGGATAAGTAAATCTCAGGGGATTGTTTAGGGTGGTAACACTATTTTGTATGGTACTACAGTGGTGGATAGCTGACACTATGCATTTGTCAAAACCAATAGAATGCACACTAGCATAGTGAACTATAATTATGTAAATTTTCAAAAGTCATTTATGAAGTCAGGGGATCTCAAGATAGGAAACAGAATGTGACATATCAATCTAATTATACTAAATTTGTGTGAAACAACCTCACTGGGGAAAGTTGTTGGGGGGGTGCAGGGGGAAAAAAGATGCAGACCTGAAATGAATAGTCTTAAAGGCAAAAGATAGAAGCAACTGAACACAGTTACTGCACTCTAATTAATAAAGTTGCTTTCCGCAGGGGTACAGTGAACAGTTCTGCTACCACTATGTATATATACTGGAATTAAACATGCAGTTTTAATTCACTGATTTATTTCCCTTAACGTAATGGCCTCCAGGCTCATCCATGTTGCTGCCAACAACAGGAGGTCATTCTTTTTATAGCAGAATAGTATTTCATTGTGTTTATTTAGCACATTTTCTTCATCTATTCACTTATTGACAGACACTTAGGCTGATTCCGTATTTTGACTGTTGTGAACAGGGCTGTAGTAAACATGAAGTGCAGATACTTATTTTTATACTGATTTCTTTTCTTTTCCATGCATACACTGCAGTGGAATTGCTGGATTATATGGTATTTTAATTTTTCTTTTGAGGAAACTCCATGCTGTTTTCCACATGGCCGCACTAATTTACTTTCCTACCAACAGCGTACTAGAGTTCCCCCTTTCTTTGCATTATTGCCAGCATGTTTTCATTTGCCATTTTTAAAAAAATAATGGGCATGTAAATGTACTTCAGGCTGGCCTCAAACTCCTAGGCACAAGCAATCCTCCTGCCTTTGGGTTCCCAAAGTGCTGAGATTACAGGTGTGAGGCTATTTTTAGATTTTATATTTCATCACTTCAAATAAGATGCATAAGGGTTGCAAAAGCCATTGAACTCAAAAAAGATGATTTATTATATTTACCCAGATACTGATCATTTCTGTTGCTCATCTTTCATTCCTGAAGTTCCAGGTTTCTCTTTGGAAACATTTCCCTTCAGCCTGAAGAATTTTCTGTAGCATTTCTGTTAGATAAGGACTGCAGATGACAGAATACCTTAATTTTTATTCATCTGAGAATGTCTTTAACTCACTTTCATTCCTGGAGGTTGCGTTTGCTGAAGAAAGAGTTCTGAGTTGGCAGTTTTTTTCTTTCAGCATGTGAAAGTCGTGGTTCCACTGACTTCTGGTCTACATGGTCTCTAAGGAGAAATCTGCAGTCATTCACATTGCTGTTCCTCAGCATATAAAGTATCATTTTGCTCTGGCTATTTTCAGCATTTTTTTTTTAAATCATAGTTTTTCAGCAGTTTGATTGGGAAGTTTCTGGGCCTGGTTATTTTTTAATTTATCATAGTTACGGTTGTTTGGCTTTTGAAATTGGAAAAGGCATGTCTTTCACTAAATTTCAGAATTTTAGGCCATTACTTAAGAGAAATCTTTCTAGGCTGGGCGCGGTGGCTCACGCCTATAATCCCAGCACTTTGGGAGGCTGAGGTGGGTGGATTGTGAGGTCAAGAGATTGAGACCATCCTGGTCAACATGGTGAAACCCCGTCTCTACTAAAAATGCAAAAATTAGCTGGGCGTGGTGGCGTGCGCCTGTAATCCCAGCTACTCAGGAGGCTGAGGCAGGAGAATTGCCTGAACCCAGGAGGCGGAGGTTGCGGTGAGCCGAGATCGCGCCATTGCACTCCAGCCTGGGTAACAAGAGCGAAACTCCGCTCAAAAAAAAGAAAAATTTTTCTGCACAATTCTCTTTCTTTTCTCCAGGAACTAAGAGAACACAATTTGATACTGTATTTTTATACTTTCTCACAGGCCCTGAGGCTTTGTTTATTGTTCTTCCCTTCTTTAGATTAGTTTCTGTTGACCTCTTTTCAAGTTTAATAGCTCTTTTCTCTGTCCTCTCTACACTGTTATTGAGCTTATCCTGTAAATATTGGGTATTTTAAAAGTATCATGTGATTCTAACGTACAGAAAACTTGAGAGCCACTGAGTTAATACCCCAAGGCCTTCACATCCTCATCTTAAAAAAAAATGAGGATGACAATGTGGCCTTACCACTTCCCAGTGTTTCTAGGGGGATCTAAGGAGCATTGCTGTAAGACTGCAGGACTTTGATGCTTGGCACAATTTGTCAGATTTACCTAGGGAGTCAAGACCAACTGATAATGCCCAATGAGTTCTATTCCCAGACAAAGCAGGGGATTATTGTTCAATACACCACCAAGAATCCAAAGGACGTTGTAACAGAAATTCTCATGATTTGAATAGTTGAAACAGTCTAGAAACATGTGAACTATTGCACGTTGCCCAAGTTGTAAAAATGTGAAGGTGCTTAACAAATGACCCCGACAGTCTGCAGGGGACTCAACCCAAGCCACCAGGTATAGGACAGGCTAAGGCAGAGGCAGGTACCAAGAGCCAGGAGCAGTGAGCAAGGGGAATGACCAGCGTCAAAGAGACCACAATTTTCATCTTAAAATATGTTCTAAAATAGATGTACAATACACAAATTTCACAGAAACCTACCTTTAGCATATAATGTAGGGATTTTTAAGTTAACTGAGTTTATAATTTGTGCTTCTGTAAAAAGAATGACTGTACATAATTATGTTAAGGGTCACACAGGCTAGAGTCAAAGGGAATTGTTCTCAAACCTGCTGAGCATATTTGGTGGTATATTCACCAAAATTATATTTTGATATTAAACAATTGTATTAAGTTTTAATGTGCTTATGCATGATACATTCACTTACTCGTTTTAATGTTTAATAAAATGTGATGTATGTTAAATACCCTAAGTGGTACAGATTAAGAGTAGATATTTTAACTAAAGCTATTCTCTTCTTATTAACAGAATATCCAAGGTATCTCCAAGCACCCAATTCAGATTACTAAACCTAAGAATTTTAAAGGTAATTCATTTCTTTCTACCTTGCTAAAGTCTTGGGTAACTCTTTTTTGAGACAGGGTGTCACTCTGTCACCCAGTCTGGAATACAGTATTGTGATCACGGCTCACTGCAGCCTTGACCTCCTGGGCTCAGGTGATTCTCCCGCCTCACCCTCCTGAGTAGCTGTGCCTAAAGGCACGCAGCACCATACCTGGCTAATTTGCGTGTCTGTGTGTGTCTGTGTATTTTTTGTAGAGATGGGGTTTTGCCATGTTGCTAAGGCTGGTCTCAAACTCCTGGGTTCAAGTGAACCTCCCACCTTGGACTTCCAAAGTGCTGGGATTACAGATATGAGCCACTGTGCCCTTTTAAACATTTTTTTAAAAGTTACTTGTCATTGCTTTTCTATATAACTAGCTGCTTCACTTTCCTGAAGTTCTCTGTATTTGCATGACCAGGATTTAAATACACATTGAAAAAATAATGAACAGCTAAAGTGATATGATACCTCCCTGTTAGCAGTTTACAAGTAGAAATAGATGATAATTATATCAGGAAAGTAGCTTTCCTCCTACCATCTCTTCCCCCACCAGCCTCCCAATAAAGAAAAAAACAAACATATAATAGCACTGGTGCTTATTAAAGTCTGAAAATCACTGGAAATGTTTATAAAAGCATACTAACACTCTCTTTCTTTTAGGCTATTCTGCTGTGACACTGATGGGTACATTTCTAAAAAAGAAAAAGTTCCAATCTGAGCAGATGAGAGCTTTTCCGCCCATGCCCCGTGCACTCCTACCCTTGGCAGTGGCACTCCTGCCCCTCTGCTGGGGGCCCTGCTGTGTCCTAGCAAAACAAGGAAACCCAATGAGCAGTCCTTTCTTTTCCTTTCTTTTCTTTTTTTTTTTTTGAGTTGGAGTCTCACTGTATTGCCCAGGCTGGAGTGCAATGGCACAATCTCAGCTCACCGCAACCTCTGCCTGCTGGGTTCAGGCAATTCTCCTGCCTCAGCCTCTCGAGTAGCTGGGATTATAGGCACCCACCAGCACACCCAGTTAATTTTTTGTATTCTTAGTAAAGACAGGGTTTCACCATGTTTCTCAGGCTGGTCTCAAACTCCTGGGCTCAAGTGATCCTCCCGTCTCAGCCTCCCAAAGTGCTGGTAGTCTAAGTGTGAGCCACTGCGTCCGGTCCCAGTGAGCAGTCCTCTCTAAAATACATTTGACTGTCCTGAAACAGTGTCCGTGCAGAGGGCTCCTGGCAACTTCTTCCCCTGCTGCCCCTTTAAAATGTCTTCAGTGGGGAAGTCACAGCTGTGCTTCCCACATAGACCTTCCATCAGTAAGGCTCCGAGTTTGAAGACTGCTTTTACTGGAATGCATTCAGTTGTCAACGTCTGGGTTTTCCTTTTTTTCATTGAGAATTCTACACAGAACAGAATTTTTTTTTTTTTTTTTTTGAGATGAAGTCTGGCTCTGTCGCCCAGGCTGGAGTGGCACAATCTTGGCTCACTGCAACCACCGCCTCCCGGTTTCAAGCCATTCTTCTGCCTCAGCTTCCAGAATAGGTGAGACTACAGGCATGCACCACCACGCCCAGCTAATTTTTGTGTTTTTGGTAGAGACAGCGTTCACCATGTTGGCCAGGCTGGTTTTGAACCCCTGACCTCGTGATCCGCCTGCCTCGGCCTCCCAAAGTGCTGGGATTACAGGCATGAGCCACTGTGCCTGGCCATATATATATGGTTTTTGAGACAGAGTGTTGTTCTTGTTGCCCAGGCTGGAGTGCAGTGGCATGATCTCGGCTCACTGCAACCTCCGCCTCCCTGGTTCAAGCAGTTCTCCTGCCTCAGCCTCCTGAGTAGCTGGCATTACAGGCATGTGCCACCATGCCTGGCTAATTTTGTTTTTTTTATTTTTTTTAGTAGAGATAGGGTTTCTCCATGTTGGTCAGACTGGTCTTGAACTCCGACATAAAGTGATTCACCGTCCTTGGCCTTCCAAAGTGCTGGGATTACAGGTGTGAGCCACCAGCCTGGCCAAGAACAGAAAAATTTTAAATCAGAAAACCTAGTTAGCTTTCAGTAGGAATATGTTATTTTTAAAATTACATTAAGGCCAGGTGCCTTGGCTCACACCTGCAATCCCAGCACTTTGGGAGGCCAAGGCGGAAGGACTGCTTAAGTCCAGGAGTTGGAGACCAGCCTGGGCAATATGGTGGGAGCCTGTCCCGCAAGAGAATTAAAAATTAGGTGGTCATGGTGGTGTGTACCTGTAGTCCCAGATGCTTTGGTAGGCTGAGGCAGGAGTATTGCTTAAGCCCTGGAGTGCAAGGCTGCAGTGAGCTATGATTGTGCCACTGCACTCCAGCCTGGGCAATAAAGTGAGACCCCCATCTCTAAAAAACTTAATAAAAATATTCAGAAAATTTAAAATCTTAACTCTTGACTTTGGAATAATATTCAAACAATATTGTATTGAGGACTAGCTACCAGTCAGTTCATGACCAAATTCACTAAATGCTCTTGAAAAAACAATTCAGGTAAAGAAGACGAGATTCTCACCATCTGCCCGAGGGCCATGTTTGTTTCATCCAAAGGCCACACCTTTCTAGCAGCAGGTACGTTGCTGTAGCTTACTTGATTCGTTTTCATGGAGTTCAAATGTTTAGAAATTGACTAATCCAAAGGTCCTTATGGAATGCATTCTTTCAAATAAATTATTTTTTTTGAGACAGAGTCTTTCTCTTGTTGCCCAGGCTGGAATGCAATGGCGTGACCTCTGCTCATTGCAACCTCTGCCTCCCAGGTTCAAGTGATTCTCCTGCCTCAGCCTCCGGAGTAGCTGGGATTCCAGGTGTACACCACCACACCCAGCTAATTTTTACATTTTTAGTAGAGACAGGGTTTCACCATGTTGGCCAGGCTGGTCTCGGACTCCTGACCTCAGGTGATCCGCCCACCTTGGCCTCCCAAAGTGCTGGCACAAGCCACGGGCATGAGCCACTGTGCCTGGTCACTTTCAAATAAATTCTAAGGCACAGTACGTAGTGGCAAGTTTTGCTTCCAGTGTCCCCTCATGTCACCGTATCTAAATCCCAGATACCCTTGCCCTACACCCCTGTGCTTTGTCTGCCTGGCTCCCTATGGCCTTGCCAGGTCCTGGTCCTCCCAGCTCAGAGTCACCTCCACTCCAGGCCCTTGCCCAGGCCATTCCTCTCCCCTAGAGACCATCTTGGTGCCCTCCTTTGCCTCCTCTGTGCCTTTGCTCAATGTCACTTTGTTGATGCAGCCTATAAATAGGGTAATTGGTCATCCTATTTATAACAACAGCTCCCCTCCATACACACACTCTCACTCACTCCCGAGCCTCCTCATCTTGCACCATCCTCCCCATTGCATTTCTCACCTCCTGACACTGAGGCCAGAGGACCCTGGCAGACGGGAGGTGGGGATGTGCACCTTCAGGCTGCTGAATGAGGAGAGTCTGAGGGTGGCCAATTGGGCAGCACTCACAAGGAACGCTGCTGGCAAACTCTAACTTAATGCAGAATTCTGCCTCACAGACTTTTCACAGATTGAATTGCGCATTCTTGCACATTTATCTGGGGATCCAGAACTTCTGAAGTTATTCCAGGAATCTGAAAGAGATGATGTATTTTCTACTCTGACTTCACAGTGGTAAGATATATGAGCTCACAATACTATCAGATCTGCAGCAAGGCCAACATGATTTTAAAAGCCTGAAATTATTCCAAGGCTGCTTTCATAAGACATAAATTATATTTTTTGTGTGTCTAGTAATTAATCGTTTTGAGAAGAAGAGTAGATAAGTAGGATGCCATGAGTTACCTAATTATGAAAGAAGTGGTGGTTCTTCTCCACTAAAAAAGAAGTAATTCCTAGAGAATGTAATAGAAAAGATAAAATAACCAGCGAGTCCCACGCCCTGCAGGCGAGCACCACGGAAAGAGTGAGCCAGTGCTGGCTGTGACCCGCTGCCCTCGGAGGAGAGCCAAAGTGCTTGCTGTGCACTCAGCCCCAGCCTGTCTGTGGGCCAGGGCATCTTGAGCTGCGGGTGAAAGACCCTGCCTGCGTGGCTTATGCACACAGAGAATTCCAGAGGCAGGTAGTCTCGGGTTTTGTCGGGCAGCTTGGCAGTGTCGTCCAGGGCTTGTCCTTCTGCATCTTTATTCTCAGAATGATGCTTCTCTTCCTGGTGGAATACCTGCTCCAGTCTCCAAAGCAGGAGGGAGAGGCAGATGCAAGGCTCTCCTCTCACCCCTCTCCTCTGCCCAGCAAGGTCCATGTGCTCTTGGGGAGCCCGATGCAGACAACAGCTACACCTCACTTCCTAGAGCAGGTCATGCAGCTGTGCCAGCTGCAAGAGAGGTGGAGAGATTACACTCCAGGAAAAAGGAGGAGAGGATGATCGTGCTTAGCTTATGCATCACAGGTGTTCACCGGGCCGGCCGCATCAGTGCCCCTTTGAGGAAGGGAAGGGGGCAGGGTGCGCTTTTGGAAGGTCCCTGCGTCAGAGTCACTGTCCCCTCAGCAGCTGCAGGCACCACCTCCCTATCACCTTGGGCCTCTCCTGTTCCCCCTGCGGCCCCCTCACCCCTCTCTATGCTTCCCCTCCCAGCTTATATCCTGCCACCTGTTCACCCTCAGGATATCACACAGAAAGGCTGCCCAGCACCTGCGGGGTGGGAGAGGAGCAAGTGGATCCTGGGGATCCCTCAGGGTGGAAGCCAGAGGGGAGAAGTCAGAGGGGAGTGGGTGGCAGGTCTGTTCTTCAGCCCTTGACTAGGCCAGCCCCCTGCGTTCTCAAGCCCCTGCACTCCCCTCCCCATGCGCCCGTCTCTGTTTCTGTCTTTGTTGAAGAGGGGGTGCCTGCGAGAGTTCTGGCTGCTGTCTGGCCTGGTTGCCACCCCATTCTCCCGGTACTCCCTCTTCGGCCACGCTGGCTGGGCCTGAGCACACCAGTTACCCACCTCACTCGGGCCTTTCCTGCGCTGGGGCTCAGGAAGCTCTTTCCCCAAATGTCTGTGTGTCTCCCTCCCCAACCTCATCCAAGTGGGCCCTGTGGGCATCTCCTCAGGGACCTCCCCTGACCTCCCTATCCTGAAGTTCCACACGGCACCACTCGTCTCTGGTCTGATGCACATTTCCATGTATTGCTCTACTGTTCAACCTGCTGCAGCGTCAGCGCCCAGGGGTGAAACCTCACCCCCTCTGGTCCCTACTGTGCTCCATAATGGGTGGGGACTCACAGAGATTTGTCAAATCAATGAATGAATAGTATAGAACTCAAATTTGCGTTTGAATCAGAAAAATATCTCCAAAAAGGCTACCACCACAAGACTGTTCCTTGAATGACAAAATTCAGGAAGGAATGTTTTATGTAATGGGAGCAGAGGATTGAGAATGTTACTATACACTAAGCTGGACTTTAGAGTAGCTGTGAAATTGTGTTTATGATGACAGCAGGGAAAGTGACAAAAGCAAAGACTAATGAAGGGTTTGCCCAGCACAGGAAGAGGCACTGTACCGGGTGGACGTGACGTGCACAGCAAGCGGTGGGGTCCAGGCACCAGGAGCCAAGGCCAGCTCTTGAGCACCAGAGTCCTGCCTCCCACCCGTATCCAGGGTGTCCTCTTGTCGTTCTCTCCTGTCATCTGCCCTCCTCCTCAGACCCTGCATCTAACCCTCTGTGACCCTGTCCTTTCACATGAGTGGCCTCCACCCCAGTCAGGACCCACCCTAGGACCTCAAGCTCTCCACTTCTGAATGCCCAGATCTGCACCGGGTCCTTGCTGGCCTCATTCCCAGCTCTGCCACTGGCCCTCCTCCTGGCATCTCTTTCCAGGTTTGTCACTTAGCCAGTCTTGCCTGCACCCCACTGAGCTCCAACAGTGCTGAGACACAGTCAGCTCCAGCTCCTCCTGGAGGAGGCATTCAGGAAAGGCCCCAAGATGGATCCCAGGTCACACATACACACATTGTCCTCTCCTCTCAGTGGGAATGGATCCCAGGTGAATGAAGACACACACAGACACATTCTCCTCTCCACTTGGTGAGGATGGAGCCCAGGTCACACACAGACACATTCTCCTCTCTTCTCAGTGAGAATGGATCCCAGGTGAATGAAGACACACACAGACACATTCTCCTCTCCACTTGGTGAGGATGGAGCCCAGGTCACACACAGACACATTCTCCTCTCTTCTCAGTGAGAATGGATCCCAGGTGAATGAAGACACACACAGACACATTCTCCTCTCCACTTGGTGAGGATGGAGCCCAGGTCACACATAGACACATTCTCCTCTCCGCTTGGTGGGGATGGACCCGAGGTGAATAAGGGCACACCCAGACCCCTTCTCCTCTCTGCTCAGCACGGATGGACCCCAAGTGAATGGCAAACACAGATCCCTTCTCCTCTCTGCTCAGTGGGGATGGACCCCAGGTGAATGGCACACACAGACCCCTTCTCCTCTCTGCTCAGTGGGGATGGACCCCAGGTGAATGAGGACACACACAGACCCCTTCTCCTCTCCACTCAGCCCCATTGACTGCCCGCTTAGGAAGCTGTGCTCCTCTGACTTCTTCCTGCTCTCTGGTTTCCAGCACTGAGTGATCCCCATGAGCCACTTGCTCATCTCTTAGCCTGGCTCAGGTGCTGGAGGAAGTTACAGGGTGGTGGCTGCTGAGTCCACTAGAAATCAGGTCATCTGGTCTGAGAGAAGTCCTTAATGTTCTCGACTTCCTGTCTTGTTGCTCCAGACTTTTTTGATCTCCCACAAATAACTATTATTCTCTCTTAATCTCCAACGAGAACCTCCCCTCTTATTTAAATGACAAAGAAGAAAGCCTAAGACAGGGCTCCTGAACTCCCTCCACCCTGCCTCAGTGTCTCCATGTACCCTCCTCCCCTCTCCAATGGCTCCTGTCTCAAAGGAGGGAGCTTCTCTATTGCCAGGATAAGGACTGTGCAGGGCACATCTCCGGGAGAGGCTGTGTGTCTAGACCTTGGTGTACCTGTTCCTCTTACAGCTGTGCAGTGCACAGCCAGCCTAGCCTTACATGGCAGCCTTCCTACATATTCCTTTTATTTTCCATTTTTACTCTAGTGTTGTTCAGATATCCTTGTTGATTTCCTCGTTTCCGTCTACTGGAGGACAAAAAACCTGCTTAGGATTGCCCTAAATATAACCATAGAAGGAAATCCTGTCTTCAGCCTGGTGGAAGACCTCATTATTGCTTAGCTACAAAAGAAATCTACACGCACTGCCTCTACTTTCTCACTGCCAGCTCTTTCTTGCTTCTTAAAACAAACTTTCATTTTTACCTACATACCCTTTTCTTTGTATTTGAAGCCCAGAACTCCTCACATTTAAGACAATGATTGTCTTCAGGATGTGCCTAGCCCCGAGGTCCAGGGCCAGCAACCGCAGCGAGGGTCCCACCCCAGCCAGGGACAAGTCAGAAGCTCTACAGGGTCTTTGAGGGTGTGCAGCTTCCCTGGCCCCTGCCTGTCCCCATGCTTTCTCCTGATCTCTGCCCCCGCTCCTGGGGGCAGAGCTCTCGCCATCTTTCAAAATCAAGATATAATTCATAGACAGTAAAATTCACCTTTTAAAGTTACAATTGGCCTGGCATAGTGGCTCATGCCCATAATCCCAGCATTTTGGGAGGCCCAGAGAGGAGGATCACTTAGGCCAGGAATTTGAGACCAGCCTGTGCAACATTGCAAGGCTCCCATCTCTACAAAAAAACTTTTTTTAAATTAGCTGGATGAGGTGGCACACACCGGTCCTGTAGTCCTGGCTGCTTGGGAGGCTAAGGAGAGAGGATTGCTTGAGCCCAGGCTGAGGCTCCAGTGAGCTCTGATTGCACCACTACATGCCAGCCTCAATGACAGACAAGACCCTGTCTCTCAAAACATAAAGTTACAATCACCACTGTCTAATTCCAGAACATTTCCATTACCCCAAAAAGAAACCTCATGCCTCTTATCCCCCACTCCCAACTCACCCCACCTCCCAGCCCTGGAAACCACTCGTCTACTTTCTGTTTCTAGATTTACGTCTTCTGGACATTTCACGTTAATGAAATTACACAACGTGGAACCCTTTATATCTGGCTTCTTCTACTGAGCATAGTATTTTCAAGGTTTATCCATGCTGTAGGAGGTAACAGTACTTCATTCCTTTATATGGCTCAAAAATATTCTATTATATGGAATAATATATTCTGTATATTTCAATATAAATAAGCAAATAATCGTGTTTATTCATCAAATGTCATGCGATGGACATTTGGGTTGTTTCTACTTTTTTCAGTTACAAACAATGCGTTACGTACATTCATATACAGGTTTGGCTTTGGCTTTGGCTTTGATTTTGTTTTGTTTTGGTTTTTTTGAGGCAGGACCACACTCTGTCGCCTAGGCTGGAGAGCAGAGGTACGATCTCGGTTCACTGCAACCTCCGCCTCCTGGGTTGCTGGGTTCAAATGATTCTCTAGCCTCAGCTTCCCGAGTAGCTGGGACCACATTTTTGGTTGTTTTTTTTTTTCTTGGAGACAGGGTCTCACTCTCTTACCCAGACTGGAGTGCAGTGGCGCAATCTTGGCTGACTGCAACCTCCGTCTCCCAGGCTCAAGTGATTCTACTGCCT